ATCGAGTGCAATCATCAATAAAAGTAATAAAGTACTTTTTACCTCTTCTAGTTTGAACAAATTTTAAATCACAGGTATCTGTGTGAATTAAACTTAGAGGTTCAGTATTTCTTTCTACTTTATTAAATGATACCTTAGTGAGTTTTGCCTCAACACAAATCTCACATTTATGATTAAGAACAAACTCTAAGTTTGGTAAACATTCAAAAGAAACAAGTCTACGCAAAGAATTAAAACTTACATGTCCTAATCTACCATGCCATAAAAAAGAAGACTCAACAATAGAAACAGAAGATGTGCTCTTATTATTAATAGCCAAATTGGGTACAACAGTTAGTACATTGAGCTTAAAAAGCCCATCACTCATGTACGCCCCACATACATTCCACTCTTGGAGAGTACAACCTTGTCAGATTCAAAGACTAATCTAAACCCATTCTTGATCAACAATTACCCAAAAATCAAATTCTTGCAAATCTTCTGCACATGGAGTATATTGTTAAGAGTGAGCTCCTTTCCCGAGGTCATTTTCAGCACAATCTTTCCTTGTCCTTCCACAGTTGATATGAAGGAGTTTCCCATAAAAAGATGTTCTCCATTTTCCACCACTTTGTAGGTTGTGAACATTATAGCGATTCTGGTTTATACCCGAACCATTTTGTATTTCAGACTTGGGTTTCATGGTTTCATATTGTTGTTCATATCTTGCTTCCTTTGTATTTCCTTAAATTTGGCTATGTGATTGTTGTGGTTGAGTTTGGGACAGGTTGGTTGCTTAGGTACCAAACTTTTGTTGCCTAGAATTTTACTCCTCCGCTCGAGTGGCATTTCTTGTGCTCGAGCGGGCTTTGTGGACTCTCAGTACTTTTGTAGGTCTGCAAAACTACTGGGAGTGTGCATTTTGCGCTCAAGCGTTACTTCTTGCGCTCAAGCAGAACAACTTATTATGTCTGACGCTCGAGCATCACTTCTCAAGCTCGAGCAGACTGTGCGTATATCAGTTCGTAGAAAAGGTCATTTTACATCACTTTTTCATATCACTCTCTCTCTAAATATTTCAAAAACCCTAGATCTATAGCTTCTCTCTCTAAAACTCCCTTTCTCTTTATATTTTCATCTAGATCCGTTGGTTTCTCTACCCACGTGTCTTTGGGAAAAAGGTAGAGCATCTCAAGAGCTCCATTTTGGACTGAATAAAACTCGGTTTTGGCGTCTTTGAAGTTTCTTCCTTGCTTTGCTCATCTTCCAAACTTGAAGTAGGGACTTTTTACATTCTTTTATGAGTTTTAACTTCGTTATTTGTTGATGTGTAATGAATATTGGAATTTGGGATGATTTTCAACAAACCTAGGGTGTTGGTTTAAAATCAAAAGAGGAGTTTTCAAATATATGTGTTAAAAATGGTTATGGGAATAGAGATTAGGTTGTGTTGTGGTAAATTTGTTGATTTCGGTACTTGGGATGGATTTTGGGGAAAACGGAGTTTTGCCCTAAAATGTCTCAAATAGTTGTTTTGTTTAAATAAATGAAATTGGTATTGAGAATGTGAAGTTGAATGGGTGTTTGTGTAAATGGTGGAATTGAATATGTATTATTTCCCACTTATGGAAATTTGAATAATTTATTTGTCTTGGGGATTGTACATCTGTTTAGCAATATCTATTTTGGGCTATCGGTGGAGGATAGCTATGATTGTTATAGAAATTACATGAGGATTAAGTGAATTGAAACTAACCTCTTATCCGTTGTCATCGAATATGACTATGTGTTCTTTTAATATAATGTAAATGCATGATGTTTGGGAGAAGAAAGGGGATGTACTCCATGTTTGGAAAAAGAAAGGAGATGGACCCCATTGAATTAAGTTGGCTTATGTGTCTAGGGTAAAAGTCTCGAAAACCACGCGTATACATGGGTATCGATTCTTGCGGACGAAATTTACGTAAAATGACAAATGGAAGTGTTTGTATAATGTTGTGTTGGTTATAGACCCACTGAGTTGTACCCTCAGTTTGGTTGTTTGAATGAAATGGTGAATCATCCATGAATTGATATAAAATGAATTGAGATAAAATGAATTGAGGTATAAAGTTGGGCATAGCACATTTTTGTAAAAGAGTTATAAATGATTTTACCACGGGCATTGGATATGCATCTCATACTTATATCTTTGTTAAGATTCATATATTGTGCTAGATTGTTTCTATTGGGCTTTGGCTCACCCTATTTGGGAAAGCCATTTTTAGGTGTTGGTGATATGCCTCTGCCAAGGCAATAGTTTGGGAGCGATCTAAGCTGAAGGCTTCTTTTTGTCTATTTTGTTATTGTTTTGATTCAAGCCAAGGGTTTTACATGTATTGGATTTACATCCACTTTTGTTGTAACCAAGCATGATCTTCGAAGACGTAAGCTTTTAGGGCATATGAATATCTATTTAGCTTTCTTTCATTTTCACTACTTGTAACACCTGCTGTAGATTCAGGATGGATTATTTATGAATGTATATCGCATGTGTCACCTTTTGTAAATTAAACTCTGATTAATGAAAGCATGTTGTTTTAATTATACTTCTGCTTATGAGATGAGTTTATCGTATTTATTTTGGGGCGTAACAAACATCTTCTTATTTGTACAGATATGAAGGGTTGCTCTAGTATCCACCCACTATTCCTAGGGATTGCCCACCAAATTAGCCTCAGAGACTACTGCAACAAGATTGATGTCTGCCATTCCATCGAAAAGATAAAAATCCTTGGCTATGTTTGCTTGTGGTGGCTTTTTGCTTGAACTCCCACCATCCTTGCGAACGTGACAATCCTTAGCTCAATGCCCATCTTTGCCGCACACAAAACACTTTCCTTTGAACCTCTTGTTGAACCTATTGTTAATCTTACTAGTGGATCCTTGTTTGGGACCATTGCCATCATGCTTCCGCTTCTTGTTAAATTTTGACCCTTGTCCTTGTTCCACAACATTTGCTTTAGTTTGCATGATATGGTTTCTTGACTTCTTGTCGGTACCATGGTTGTCCTCCTCAATTTTGAACCACACTATCAGTTCCTCTAATTTCATCTCCTTGCGCTTATGCTTCAGATAATTCTTGAATTCTTTCCAGGATGGCGGTTATTTTTCAATGATTATTCCTGCTTGGAAAGATTCACTGAGAATTATCCCTTCGGCATATATGTCATGGAGAATTAATTGGAGATCTTGAACCTGGCTAATAACCGTCTTGGAATCCATTATTTTATAATCCAGAAAACAGCCAACAATGAATTTCTTCGTACCGGCATCCTCTGTCTTATATTTCAGATCTAGAGATTCCCACAACTCTTTTGTGGTGCTTTTGACAGTATACACATTGTATAGTGTATTGTTCAAGCCATTGAGGATATAATTTCGACATAGAAAATCACCATACTTTCATGCATCGACAACAACAACCACTTGCCAGTTAGTTTCTTCCTCGTTTAGTACCGGAGCTTTTTCATGGGTGAAGCGAGTCAAATTCAATGTAATAAGATAAAACATCATTTTTTGTTGCCATCTTTTAAAATCAGTTCTATTGAATTTTTCTGGCTTCTTTCCATGATTTACCGGTACTGCCGGAGTCATTACTGGCACAATGGGTGTGGGGGTCGGAGTAAGAATAGTCTCAGTCTTGTTTGTTTCAGTAGTCAGTTTTCTAACGAAATTAATAATGCATCAATCACAAATTTATACAGAATATATTTTACACACAAAATAGACAGAAAAATAGTATGTAAAAAAATTCCAATGATAAACAGTAAATTACTACGATGTTATCAAAGAAATCATTAAACAGTATATTACTACTATTTAAGAAATTAAATAGTATATGACTACTATTTAATTTCTAGAAATAAATTTTTTGTCTGTCTAAAATACAAATAAAAAAAAAACACAAAATCTACTTTAAGATTGTTATTCCCCAGTGATTTGGTGTGTAATTTAAAAGTATAAGTAAAATAAACAACAAAAAATTAAATAATTCAGAAAATAAATAAATAAATTCTGAATTAACCGCTTACTGAAACTTTAGGGCTTGTGTTAGACACAATCTCCTTAAAGTAGATTTCGTCCTCATTCCGGTGCTTCGAGATTTACTGGTGTTTATTTCCCAGAATGCAACGACTACTACTTGATTTGCAGCACTATAAAATCAAATATGGCGAACCAAACAATGTTGTAACTCTCTCTTTCTCTTCCTATAGACTAAATGCTGGACAAACGTAGGAGCATGAGCACATGAAGACGAAAAGAAGAACAAGAAGAAGAGATGTTTGAAAAAATTGGATCTTGAATTGTTGGAACGACAGGCTATTTATAGCCAACCATGCACTTTATAGCCAACCATGCACTTGTTTGGGTAGGCCTTGGTGGCTGCTCGGCCAAGGTTGGAAAGTCGCAACCAGAACAGTACTGGTTCTGAAAGGAGGAGCAAAATTTGAATTTGAAATTTTGGTGCAAATTTTGAATTATTTTTGTAAGGATTTCAAAATTTTCCTGCAAGAATTTGAAAAAATTCAAACGAATTTTGTCCAAAAAATTAAAGCGAGGACCCGACCCTACACCACGCACCTGCGCTCGGCCGGTCAAAGCATACTTTGTCCATAACTTCTTTCCTTTCAAAACTTGGGGTGCCCCTTGGGGCCCATCCGAAGTATGACAAGCTAGAGTTTATATACTCATATAAACTCGCTCTTTGTTTGAATGTGAGACAAGTCATTTAATGAGTAAACCCACATTGTCTCTTCAACTTCCATGTTCACAAACACGAAAATGCGCATTGAATTCTCATTCATCTGGAAATGATTTTGAGCAACCAAATATACGATGTTATTCATTACGCGGTATTAAATATGAACTCATTTTCAAACGTCAAAAATGACGCTTGGGTCTTACCTTAATTAATGCTCAAAGTTAGCAAAAAATAAGATATTTTCAAAGCCATTTTCCAACATGAGGTACATCCACGGGACCGAAATCTAATTCCATAATCAACTAAAAGTTTTCAAACGATTACAAACGAGATATGAATAGTCTCACAAACCACTCTTAGGTGAACTCCAAATAATTACAAAAATAATCAAAATGAAAGATCTCACCAAATAGATGAAAAAAAGTTTTTGAAATAGAGTTGAAGAAGATCCAAAATAACGAATCAAACCAGCCCACACAATAACTTGAACAAGCTGCGGCTAATTCCAAATAATCAATCACAGCACTAGCATGAACACAACAAGCTATACTTTGAGAACAAACCCACCAAATTGACTTTTTGATCTGAAAAGCACTATCTCACCCAATTGATAATCACGGCTGCTACACTGAAGAATAACCATCAGCCGTTGCACTCTAGCAAGTATAACAATACCAATAAACTATTGTTTTATCTTGAACTTTTGATCAAAATCCTAGTTATCACCAAATAGATTTTTAAATATCCATTGCGCCTTCAAAAGTTAGATATATATTATAACTAATACCAAACCAAATTAAATATTTTTAATAAACCAATTGGTCCCATACTTCACTAAGAATACCCAACCAGCGGAACGTCTTCATCTATTTCCCCTAATGCTACGCCTGGATGAATAGATGACTAAAGACTGTTCAATTGTTTTCAACATGAGGTCGTCGTTAGTAAAGGTGACAGTAGCCGAATACTGGGCATACAAGGCCCCTTCATGTTCACCTCAGTGAAGTGGCTTTGATATTCGTCAATCTCTAGTTGTAAACCCTTCCATTCGACCACTCATCAAACCTTTTATTGAACTGATAGTCAACCTTCCGAAATGACCGTGAATTGTAAATGTTCTAAACTGACCGTGCTCCCACTAACGAAAAGCCTAAAGGGAGAAAAGGGGCGAACAGAACTGCAGACTGAAGGGTATACCACGGTCAAAGGCTCCGTTCTGCGTCTTGCTTGGCCACATGACGAACATGTTTTAAGCTAACTGCATGTCGAGTGCTTAAGCGGAGCTTATGGTCACTTGTTCCTCGCTTTGTTCCAATCCTACTATAAGCAAGCTACCTCATACCTTAATGGGACTTGTAGCTCTCTAAGGCAGGCAGCTTGCCTTTCCCTGGCTACTGGTCCCAAGGCATCACTCTTAGTAGGAGGACATCTTATTCAAGAACCGATTCTATTTGAAAAGAAGTTTGTTACCTTCTACTACCGATCTTCTCCTGCTGCTCGCTTCGCTTGTTTCATTGAGCTCGCTTTCTGTAAAGAAACTAAAAGAAAGAGAATATGAACAGCAGGCAAAGACTTTTTGTTAGGTTTTAATCTTGGCAATCCTGTTTGACAAAACTCCTTTCAGTTGTATTTATTTTCGCACTTTTATTTCAGTGAGGCTATGAGTGTTTAGATGCGAATCCAACCCGAATTGTGATTTTCAGAGAAGTTTGTGATGCTAATACTTTCAAGATTGCCACTTCGCTGATTATGACGGGGATCAGCTCGCGGGGGTCCAGGGGGCAGCGCCCCTTGGCGGGTCCGAGGCAGCGCCACAGTGGGGTCGAGGGGCAGCGCCCCCGAAGCAAAATGCAAAAATGCATTCCAAGTTGCATGTCCGCTCGAGCGGACATTCCCCTGCTCGAGCGGAGAATCCCTGGTTCCAGCAGTTTTGGTCGCCTGCAAAAGTACTGAGATGTGTGATTTCGGGCTCGAGCGGACCTCTGTTATATCACACGCATATTTTGCTGAAGACGCTCGAGCGGGATGTTTGGCGCTCGAGCGGAGATCGCGGGACAGATTCTATAAATTTGCGTGTTGGGTCAGATTTTAGGATTACTACTCCAGATATTCTTTTTGGTTTCTAGGATTTATATCTGGGGATACTTTGTGAGTTTTCTTTGATGCTTTATTGAGTATTCAACTCATGGTTTAAAAGAGAGTACATCAAAGGTTTTTGTTTGCTATACAAAAGAGAGAGTTGTTCTTCGGTGGATTCCGGGGTGGCTCATCGTAAAGACAATTCCGAGGTGAAGATGGGGTTGGAAGAGGCACATAGAGGTTGGTTCAATTAGGCGTTGTAGATTCGCTAGGTAATTGAGAGTATACCTGTGTAATTCCTTTAAATCTTCTTAGTGGATTGTTCTTGTGGCTGTTGCCCGTGGTTTTTTATCACAGTTGGAGGTGTCCAATTGTGATTTTTTTCACGTAAAATCGTTGTGTCTCTTTGTCTTGATTGTTTGATTGGGATTGTTATATTCTGCTTAAAATTGATACATAATCACAAATCAACATTTAGGGGATTTTTAGATTTTTCACTTTTAAATGAGAGTAACCCAGGCATAAAATTTAGCAAAGAAAATTTGTACATTGTGAGATTTTTGTTTCATTTAATCTCCTACAAGAATAATTAATCAATGTGGTTGGTTTAGAGTTTTAAAAAATACTTTTTTGAGTTTTTAATTTGTATTTTTTTTGTTAGTAAAATTTTTTAACATTTTAATTTGTATTTTTTATTTTTTAGATCCACTTAATCTAGAGGCACTCAAAAGTATTAAATTTGTCAAAAAAACTCTTTAAAAAAATCATTGAATAATGCAAAATACAAAAATATATTAAAATTTTGTATTTTTTTTGTATTCAATAAATTTTTGGAAGATTTTTGCACAAATTTCGTATTTTTAAAGTGCATCTAGATTAAGTGAATTTAAAAACTAAAAAAAAAAAATTGATTACAATATTAAAAAATTTACGAAAAAAAAAATGAATTGAGAACTCAAAAAACTGCTTTTAAAATCCAAGTTGAAATGGTTCTAGCCCTTATGCCGTCTAAATTGATTAAAAAGAGACTATGTTTTTGAAATTTCACTAAAAGATACAACAAATTCAATAAATTTGGGGACGAAAATGCAACAGACAATTTTGAAATCCAATTATATGCTTTAAGAGCTATGTGTGTATTTGGTCTATTTTATTTTTTAAGCTTTACGTAAAATTAAAAAAAATCCCAATTTCGATTGATTGATTGGTTTGGTGATCCAGGCACTCAGCTTTAGGTTTGGATTCAAGTCTCATAAGGTGCATTGCAACATTTCTTTTCCCCTTAGCTATAAACATATAATTATATTTTTCTACGTTTTGACAGAAATGTGAATGATATCATTTCTAGAAGATTTGTTGGTTTTTTTGCCTGAAGTGTGACCATGTAGTGGCTGTTGCAAAGGATCTGGTGCAGAAGAATTAGCCGTTCTTTTTTCCATGAAACGGGCGATGTGGCCTCTCTTCATACCAAACTGAGAAGAAATTTCATCCATGCTTAACCCAAGAAGCTTGGAAAGACATTTTCCCGAGGACTCAAGCTTATCTCCATATTGAATTAGAGTACACTCATGGAGGTATGACCTCATTTCCAGTGCATCCTATAGACTCAGTCAGTCAGCCATGAAAAATCTTTAATTGGAGGTACAAGAAAAAGAGACGGTTTTAATGAATTTATGAACAATTAGAATTTTAAAGAACAGGGATTGGGATAGCAGTAGTAAAAGAGCCTTTTGTTGTTGAGTCATGTTGATTGCATCCATATCCTCTGGTTTCATAAGCTTCAAGGTGGGTACATCATCCCAACCTTCTTCTATCAGCTTTGGAAGCACCCTCGTCAAAGCTCCATTCCCCACAAAACCGTCCATTGACAAACATGCCATCCTCTATATATTTTGAGAGGGGTTTATGTGAGTTAACCCTTTTGTCCAAAAGAGTTCTGGATATACAAACAAGTTGATTGAGAATAAACCCATCTAATCCTTATATATGCAAAAGGGAAAATCCCATGCTCCATACCTTTTCAGAAAGTGTGTATACGTTATAGCTATGAACATGTAATTTAAGTTAGGAAAAATTACACAGTCCTTGTAATTTATTATTAGTCAATTTAATTATTGTAACTATAATTGTATTAATAAGAATTAATCTTTTCTTAATGACTGAGGGCTCGGTGTCTAGTTTAAAATGGTCTTTTCCTTTTGAATAGATCATTTTGTTCTTGATATTTATGTCTAGTCTTTTAATGGATGTAATTAATTTAATTTAATTGACACAAAGTGAAAAGTTTAAAAGAATAATTTATACAATTAAAACTACAAAAACTAAATCAACATAAATTAGATGATTCCACTAAATTAAGTTAGTCAAAAAAGTAATTAAAAAAATTATATACACTAGTTATTCATGTTTTTTTAATATAATTAAAAAAAATATTTTCAAATGTATTCATTTTTTTTTACCTCAAAAAAAGTTAATAATTTACTAAGAAGACAAATTCTAAATGAAACCTAAATTGGAAAAAATAAAACATCATGTGTTCTCGTTCAAGTTCACATATTTATGATGTGATTGGATTCGTGTTTAGGCTTACGTGTGCCTTGGGCTAAGTCCCTGTGGGCCACGGCCGGTCATGCCCGGATTTGGGGTGTGACACACACCTTGCGTAACTATGCATAATTTTTGAAATGTATCACAGAGGAGAAGACGTTGATATTGGTCTCGTTTGAGAATAAGTTATTTTATTTAATTTTTTGATTATTTTAATTTGATTAAAAAAGTTGTATTTGAAATGATAATTGACTTTTTTTTTATTTTATTTTAGTTGATTTAATGATTGTGAAAAAATAAATAAAATAATTAAAAATCAAATATAATATTTTATCTTATTAATTATTTTAACACATTTTAACCAAATATGCTCTAACAAAACAAGCCATTGTATAATAAGATTTTCATGTGACAATGAGAGGAGACAATGGCACTGGAGCGTTATTGTGTGTTTCTCACTCCAATAATATATGCCTCATCTTTTCTCCCACTACGGATTTCACTTTGCTTTGCATAACTCCACTTGCAACACAATTCTTATTCACTTTGTAATCCCTTACTTCAACAACTTGCCAAGTTCTTAGTTTCACTGATTGCCAACATATATTCACTTTTTAAAAATAAATTATTTAATTTTTAGAAATATAGGAGAAGATGTTGATATTGGTCTCGTTTGAGAATAAGTTATTTTATTTAATTTTTTGATTATTTTAATTTGATTAAAAAAGTTGTATTTGAAATGATAATTGACTTTTTTTTATTTTATATTTTATTTTAGTTGATTTAATGATTATGAAAGAAAAAATAAAATAAAATATTTTATCTTATTAATTATTTTAACACATTTTAACCAAATACGCTCTGACAAAACACACCATTGTATAATAAGATTTTGATGTGATAGTGAGAGTAGACGATGGCATTGGGGAGTTATTGTGTGTTTGTCACTCCAATAATATATGCCTCGTCTATTCCCCACAACGCATTTCACTTTGCTTTGCGTATCTCTCCTTGTAATGCAATTCTTATTCGCTTTGTAATCCCTTACTTCAACAACTTGCAAGTTCATTAATTCCTTACTTTAACAACTTGCCGAGTTCTTAGTTTCTCTAATTGCCAACATATATTCACTTTTTAAAAATAAATTCTTTAATTTTTAGAAATATAGGAGAAGATGTTGATATTGGTATCGTTTAAGAATAAGTTATTTTATTTAATTTTTTGATTATTTTAATTTGATTAAAAAAGTTGTATTTGAAATGATAATTGACTTTCTTTTTTTTTAATTTTATTTTAGTTGATTTAATGATTGTGAAAGAAAAAATAAAATAAAACATTTTATCTTATTAATTATTTTAACACATTTTAACCAAATATGCTCTAACAAAACAAGCCATTGTATAATAAGATTTTGATGTGACAATGAGAGGAGACGATGGCACTGGAGAGTTTTTGTGTGTTTCTCACTCCAATAATGTATGCCTCATCTTTTCCCCACAACACATTTCACTTTGCTTTGCATATCTCCACTTGCAACACAATTCTTATTCGCTTTGTAATCCCATACTTCAACAACTTGCCAAGTTCTTAGTTTCACTTATTGCCAACATATATTCGCATTTTAAAAATAAATTATTTAATTTTTAGAAATATAGGAGAAGATGTTGATATTGGTCTCGTTTGAGAATAAGTTATTTTATTTAATTTTTTGATTATTTTAATTTGATTAAAAAAGTTGTATTTGAAATGATAATTGACTTTTTTTATTTATTTTATTTTATTTTAGTTGATTTAATGATTGTGAAAGAAAAAATAATATAAAATATTTTATCTTATTAATTATTTTAACACATTTTAACCAAATACGCTATGAAAAAACAAACCATTGTATAATAAGATTTTGATGTGATAGTGAGAGTAGACGATGGCACTGGGGAGTTATTGTGTGTTTGTCACTCCAATAATATATGCCTCGTCTATTCCCCACAATGCATTTCACTTTGCTTTGCGTATCTCCCCTCGCAACACAATTCTTATTCGCTTTGTAATCCTTACTTCAACAACTTGCAAGTTCATTAATTCCTTACTTCAACAACTTGTCGAGTTCTTAGTTTCACCGATTGCCAACATATATTCGCTTTTTTAAAATAAATTATTTAATTTTTAGAAATATAGAAGACGTTGATATTGGTCTCGTTTGAGAATAAGTTATTTTATTTAATTTTTTTTTATTTTAATTTGATTAAAAAAGTTGTATTTGAAATAATAATTGACCTTTTTATTTTAGTTGATTTAGTGATTGTGGAAGAAAAAATGAAATAATTAAAAGTTAAATATAATATTTTATCTTATTAATTATTTTAGCACATTTTAACCAAATATGCTATGACAAAACAAGCCATTGTATAATTAGATTTTGATGTGATAGTGAGAGGAGACGATGGCACTGGGGAGTTATTGTGTGTTTCTGACGCAACGGAATACACGAGAAAAATAGAATATTGAATCCACAAGGAAGAGAAAATATCTTAATATTATTGATTGAATCCATTACATATGTTTATAGACTTATTTATAATAAACTAAATCTAATACTTGTAGGAAAAGTAATTCTAAAATAAATAAGGAAACTTAAATCAACACAAATTAGGAAACCTAAGGAAACTAAAATTCTAAATTATTTAAAATCCTAGTCAAAACCTAATTCTAAAATAATAAATTTAAAAAATAATATATCAAAAATATTAAAACTAAAAATATAAAAATTCTTAAAATCTTGTCTTACATCAGGCTCCTTTTCGTTGAAAGAACTTGTTCTCGAATTCATATTAGAGACCTGCCAATACTTCAGTTGTTTGCCCCTCTTCCAAAAGTTGTAAATAGAAAAGTTTTCTTTCTGAAAATTCTTCTATATATGCTTCAACTGGTTGACAAAATTAATTAGATAAGCATTGAAAATCAAATTAAATTGCTCCACACCAAGAAAATCAACGACGTGTATTTTATGTTAATGTTGGATACTCTTTAGACTTTGCTCTGTTTTAGATTCAATTGGACATTCAATTATCATCTTTCGAACATCAATTGATTCCTCAATAAACTTCTCTGGTGCACAAGTCAACTTTATTACCTCATCTTTGAGTTCGACTTAATCTCCTTTTGCGATCTCATAACCATCATAACAATCAAGAGGTGATATTTCCGTGATTAGAAGCTCTTGGCTAACTTCAACATTTTTCTCTTGCTTTACCTCTTCATTGTCTTCTTCAAACTTTTTGATCAAAGTAATTTCAGTGACTTCTCTTTCATCAATTTCAACGTTCTCACCATTGTTGAAATCAACCAGATTTTATACTTCAATTGAATGTCTGTATGGGTCTTCAAAATTTTCAAACATTGAGATACTCAAAATCTTTTCTTCTTCAATGCGTGGTGAAACGTGACAAATTTTTTGACCTACAAGACTTGATTGACCCAAACTTAGCAGAACCATAGTCATGTTCCTCGAATAATCTATATCCACAATTGCATAATAATTATTGAATTGCGAAGAATATTGTGAATCAAAATTACCTTGGAACAATTGTTTCGATTCAAGCTTTCTTTAGTATTGTTGATACAACATTTGCCCATGATTTGATTGAAGGAATCTAGAACTCATCAACTTCTTCATCTTATGCCACGTCCTAATGGGTTATTTGTATTGTCGCCTTCAATCATACTGCAATTGTTTCCACCATGTAGAAACATAACCTTGTAACCTATGTGTGACATATTTGGTTTACTTTTCTTCAGAGATTTCCATACACTCAAGGAATTTGTCAACTTTGCGAAACCAATAAATAAAATCCTTGAAATGACAAGAAGCATTAAAATAGGAAATTTCTGGTGGTACTTGATAATCTGAAAAGTCATGATTGATGCAATTATTCCTATTGAACACATCACTAAATCTTCGTTGTCGCCTTACCAACTAATATTAACCATAATCCTCGAATAACTCATCTTCAGATTCGTCCTCATTATCGTATTGATAACAAGAAGATCGTCTCAAGACGTTGTGATTAATAGGCTGGCCTTGGGAAAATCCCATAGCACGGTTCCTATTAACGTTGTGACTAACAGGTTGACCTAGAGCAAGTCTCTTGACCCGAATCCTATTAGATCTTTCTCTACGATCATCGTCAATAGAGCTTGTGTTTCCTCCTTCGATGAATGACATCGAGCCAGAAGAAACCTTGCTCTGATACCACTTGTCACAACGGAATATACATGGACTAGTTATTGTTCTAGTAGACGAAAGAAGCTCTCGAATCCACGAGAAAAACAGAACCTTGAATCCACAAGGAAGAGAAAATATCTTAATATTATTGATTAAATCCATTACATATGTTTGTAGAGTTATTTATAA